TGGAAAAATTATAGGACCAAGTTGTTACTTATCAATAATCACTCTGAATGCAAATGGCTCAACTTTCCAGTTGAAAGATACAGAATAGCCGAGTGGGGAAAAAAATTAATTGCTGCCTAAAAGAAACACTTCTCACCAACAAAGATACATACATACTTAAAGTCAAAGGATGGACAAAGATATTCCATGCTGACAGAAACCAAAAAAAAAAGCTGGTGGAGCCATTTTGGTATCAGACGAAAGAGACTTTAACACAAAAACTGTTGAAAGAGACAAAGAAGGGCACTGCGTGATGATTAAGCGAACAATTCAATGGGAAGATGTGACTATAATAAATGTGTATGCACCTAATTGCAGGGCACCTGGCTATTTAAAAGAAATATTAATGGACCTAAAGGGAGACATAGACGTCAATATAATAATAGTGGGAGACTTCAATATCTATCAGACAGAAAATCAGTAAGGAAACAGAGTTAATCGACACTATAGACCAAATGGACCTAATGGATATCTAGAGAACTTTTCATCCTACAGTTGCAGAATATATATTCTTCCCATTAGTGCATGGAACTTTCTCTAGGATAGACCACGGGCTAGGCCATAAAGCAAGGCTCAGCAAATCCAAAACAAACACAATCATACCTTGTATCATCTCTGACCACAAAGGAATGAAGCTAAAAATCAATAGCTCAAGAATATCTAGAACATATGCAAACACATGGAGAGTGAACAACATGCTACTCAATGAATAGTGGATCATGGAGGAAATCAAAACAGAAATAAAAAAACTGTTGAGGCAAAGTTTTTTTTTCATACTATTTGTTGAACCCTTTACTTAGTATAGTGTTAATCTTCTGCGTAAAAAGTTAATTGAAAATAGATTTTAGTCAAAAGAAAGAATGAGAATAGGAGAGGGAAGAGGAAGAAGGGTGGGAATGTAGCTGGGGAGGGTGGGAAAGGTGGCAAGAATCACTATATTCTTAAAGTTTTATTTATGAAATGCATGAAGTTTGTATACCTTATGGAAGAGGTTTTTGGGGAAAAACAAAAAACAAAAAAACAAAAAAAATGAACAAAAGAAACTACACCAAGACATCTTTTCTTTCTCACTTAGGAGGTTAGCAAAAAGGCCCAAGGTTTTTTTGTTTTTTGTTCTTTTTTTTTTTTAAATTTTGACAGGCAGAGTTAGACAGTGAGAGACAGAGACAGAGAGAAAGGTCTTCCTTTTTCCGTTGGTTCACCCTCCAAGTGGCCGCTACGGCTGGAGTGTTGTGGCCAGCGCACTGCACTGATCTGAAGCCAGGAGCCAGGTGCTTCCTCCTGGTCTCCCATGCAGGTGCAGGGCCCAAGGACCTGGGCCATCCTCCACTGCCTTCCCGGGTGGGCCACAGCAGAGAGCTGGACTGCAAGAAGAGCACCCGGGACTAGAACCTAGGGTGCCGGCGCTGCAGGTGCAGGATTAGCCTAGTGAGCTACGGCACCGGCCCAAGGTCAAAGTTTTCTAACACTCTATGCTGGTGAGGCTGTGTGGAAACCTACACTGCGGAGTGGGCACAGTCCATACAAATTGCATGTACTCTGTGATGAAAGCATTTCTTGAATTTATCCTACAGATATATTTAGCTACTTGCAAAAGGACACAGTCACAAAAGGAATTCACCACAGTATAGTTTTTAATCACAAAAAACTGGGCACAACAAAATGACAGCCCCAGAGGACTGGTTAAATCAATCTTGACACATCTATACAAAGGAATGCCATGCCTCCATAAAGAACAGAATGAAGTAACTTTGAATGCAGGAATTCTGCAAAATTGCAGGGGATGGAACGAAAAGGTGAGTATTTTGGTGCAAACATTTTTTTAAATCCATGCACAATTTTTATATAACATGTATTTTCCATAAACTTTTAAAAGAACCCCGCTCACGTACATGCATTTCAAAGGTTTTCACACCAAAAATAAACTTATCTTTCTATTAACTATTTGAGGTATGTATGTGTGTGTGACATAGAGAGAAGGAGGGACAGAGGGAGAAAAACGTGTTGAGGGAAGAAGTACAGTACACAACAGTGAATTAAGTATTCTGTGTACAAGAGGATTAGGGACAGATATGCACCTTTGCTTAAATACACTGAACAATCTGCAAGAACCTAAAGTAAACTTGTGATAGTGACTACCTATTTATGAACAGGTAGGAAGCAGGGTGACGAGATGTAGCTTTAGGGCAGTATGTAATTTAATCTTCTTCATTTTGACCCATTTCTAATATTCGTGATTCAAAAATGTCAGCTCTTTTGAAAAAGGAAATAGTCGGGTCTGCTTTCCACTCCTTGCTAGAGGGAATCTTGAGGTATCAACTCTCGGCAGTTCTTTCTGACTGTCCCCTTCATTACTGTCCTCACGTAAGCACAGTCAGACCAACAAGGCGAGCAGCCAGCGGCACACCAGACTCAAGTGCACAAAGCTCCTAACAGCTCTTGTAGCTGTTTGCAAGGCTGCCATTTAGTTATCTCTGGGGACTTTTCTACCTGATTGTTGGCCAGCCTTTGGACGGAGATGCAGGCCAAGGAGGAAATGGAGTGCAGTGTGGGAGGCAATGGCGGGAGGCAGGCCGAAGCACACCCCTCGACCCATTCCAGCCTCCAACAGGTGCCCGTGGTACCTGGGGGGCTTCTGACAACACGGTGGCAGGGTAGAAGGGATTCGGAGGCAGCAGCCAGAGTGCCAGAGGAGAGGACGGATGTGGGCTGGTGTCTCGAGCACACAGAGGCCTCCGGGGCGATGGACTGCAGGTGCTGAGGGAGCAGCACAAGGTATGGCAGCCCGTGAAAGGAACAGCAGGGGCTCTGACCCTTTGAGGAAGGCTCGGTATCTGCCCGCGTCTTCCTCCAGGAGCCGTTAGCTTGGCACGCAGAGCAGGAGCTGGAGACCCTGCCTCAGCCACTCTAAGCAGGTTGGCTTTGCTCTGTGACTTACCTTCTCAAAGCCTCAGTGCGCGCATCTTCCAGACAGGGTGAAATAAGTCACACGCTCAAGCATTTATGATACCTTGCTTAACCAGACCCATTTTCTCATGACGAAGTGGAGGGTCTAAGACCTTCTTACTCACAGAGCCAGAAAGTGGCAGAGCTGCACTTGGAATCCACCAAGTCTAAGTACCCGCTATGATCCACCATCAGCTGGGGAGCATCAAGGGTTTTGTTTCCCAACTCTGGGGTGGAGGAAACTGTCTTGCCCCCCAAGCGTCCCTCATTCAGAGCCAGGGCAGACATCAGAGGGACTGAGCAGCCTATAGCAAAATATAACCTTTATGATGGTAATCTGCCTGCAGGGTGGGGCACTTGCTACAGCAGTTAACAGACTGCTTGAGACATGTGCATGACTTATTGGAGTTCCTGGCTTTGAACCTGGCATTGCTTCCTTTTCCAGCTGTACGTCCTCTGGGGGCTAGGGAACAGCTGATGGCTCAAGTACTTGGGTTCCTGCCACTCCCAGGAGAGGCCAGGATTGAATCCTTGGCTCTTGGCTTTGGCTTGGCCCCATCCTGGATGTTCTGGACATTTGAGGAGTGAACCAGTAGATGGAAGGTCTGTGTGTCTGTCTTTGTCTTTCAAATAAATAAAAGTAAACCAGTAAGAATTTGAAAAGAAAATGTTCGTAACGAGCCCACTGCTGTACTAGGGGCCAAGGACATCAAATGGAGATTGTCTAGCAGGCTGCAACCTTATTTCTGGAGAGGACTCAGAAAATGGATATGCACTCATCTCTGCTGACCACGAGGGGACGCTGGGTCTTTAAAAGTGTTGCAGGCAAAAATGTTTATAATAGATTGGGTCTAAGAGTTCAACATTCAAGCCATGTGCAAGGTTTTTCTCTCTAAAGATTAGATCTTTGAATCCAAAGCTATACACAAGGGTTTCAATTTCAGTTTTTAATGCATGGAGTTTTGAAAATGTATTAGAAATTGAAGACTTCAATAAGTACAAGGAGATCATGGGAAGAATAGCATAATAACATTACCAGTGTCAGCAGATACTGCTTTCTCCACAAGGCCAAAATTGCACTGCAGAGCTTAAAAGCAGATCTTGGAGTTTCTCATTAATCTGTCACAGTTCCTGTACTGCACCTTCTCAGCTAGCACAGGAGTATCTGATTATAATGGATAGATATCTAAAATTTCATCTCAATAATCTGATTTACTCACAGCCAAGGGAAATGCATCATTCCATATGAAAATTCTAGAAATTTGTGCTTTGGAAATAAAAAGCAATCTCTCATGGCATAATATGGATGAGCGGATTAGTATAATTAGCAATTTAATATTAAAAATTATATTAATAATATAGTTTGCCTAACATGAGCCCTACAGAAATATTATCAAGAGGCTCCAGTGTGGTGATTGAAGTTGTACAATCATGACTTCTAAACATTTATTATAAATCTTCTCAGGGCAATTCATTTTCCAAGCTTTCAAACTATCTAGAATTCATGGCTTTAAATTTTTTAAAAATTTCATTTTGCTTATAGAAAAGCACACAGTATTTCCATATTTGCTCACTCCTCCCCCACTTAATACTCTTCATCCTAATTTACCTATAAACTAATGTTCTAAAAAGACATTTTTCAGTTACAAGGCTAAATGCATGCAAACTCTATAACATGCAAATATCTGAAATTTTGGAAAGAAAATGGATGCAACACATATACAGACATACAAACATAGAGCACCCCTGTATGTACTAACCTGGCAACAAAAATTACCCCCAAAACTGTAAAATAACAAGCACAAAGCAGGCATACACAGGAAATACTGTACTTGGTACCAGCTACCCACAGGCTGAATTGCTATTGGCAAATCTTACTTTTGAAAACTGGGGTAGACCAGGTAATTTTAAGCATCTGCTGTCTACAAGACTTTATTCCCGATGACAACAGAACAAAAATTTGGCAAACCAGTCCCAGCCATAGAGACCCCCCAATAAGCTTGACCGCCCCTCACCTGCTCCCCTTCTCTCCTCTCTCCCAAGAAGGCACTTCACGGAAACGTCTGGGAAAGCCCTTGGACTTTATTTTGTTACACCCTCTGAATGGACAAAAAACAAAAGAGAACAGGTGTAGAAGACAGCATTTTCAATTGGCCACCAAGAGTTGCACCCAAATGCCCACCCTCCCCTCAAACACCAACATATCCCAGCCTCAGAGCTCATCTGGGATGTTTTCCCAAGAGGATGCTGACGCACCAAGGTAGCTGGCTTCACGAAAGCCTTTGATGCTAAGGCAAGAAATACGAAACGGGACCTTTGCTCTTAGAGGCCCTCTTTACCTACTGGAAGCCTGTATCAGCCCAGGTGTTAAGGGAAGGTAAGGGTATCACACAACCATGAACTTGCTCATTCACATACCTACTCTTTCACCTTTGATGTACTGCCCTCTGGGAAACTGGCTAAGTATCATGGGTAAGAAACAGACCTTGGCAGTAATCTACCGGGGGAACATTTGAAGCTACCTTCTGCTTCAATCTGGGGCCATTGGACAAGTCTAGAGTCTTATCTTTTCCTCAAGCATCCCTGTCCAGTCTGGACACTTTCCTGATGCACAGTGCATACTGTTTAAATGTAGAGTAGAGCTACCTTGAGAGATGGGCACAGCATTGGCATGTTATTATTATACTAGTATTTTAAGTCCTATATTTGGTTTCTCCTTAAATAACCACAGCATCTGAGTCTTGGCTACAGCATTTAAAAGATGTACTTTTGTCACACAACAATACTTGAGGATTTTTTAAAATTATATTTAATCCTCCAAACCCCCTTGGTCTATAGGATTTCAGACTGAAATGAATCCTATTCTTTCCCAACTCTGCTGACAGAATAAACATGTATTAATCCCACTTTTCCGCAAGCTTTTTAAAGTTCTGATACAAAAATATTTCAAAATCCCTGCATACTTTAATATGCATTTCCTTATGCATGGATTTCAAGTGTTTGTGCTCCAAAATAAACTTTTCATTTCATTTTTCATGAATCTGAAAAAAAACTTCTGTTGAACAGTGGTTTTCTCCTGTTTGCTTATTTAATGTATGTGAAAGGCAGAGAGGAGAGACCTGACCAGACTGGAGCCACTACCCACCCCCTCCCAAGGTGTGGATCAGTGGGGGTGGGCAGGTGAGGGGGGTGGGAGGATGATGGGAATCCAAACCCTCCAGTGTGGGAGAGGAGCACCCCAAATTGCGTCTTAACCACTCTAAATGCCTGTCACCTTCATAAACTCTCTGCAGGACGCTCATACACATATGTCCTCTTTTGGCGAAGCTCTGTTGATCCCACACACAACTCTGTAAGGTCTGAACTCCAAAGACGTTAATATTTTGCGCTAACTTCCGAGTCACCCTTGTTTCCTTTTTACTTCTTGGAATGAACATCTTTGAATCTTTGTGTGTTTGTGAGTGTTCTTTTCCCTGAATACTTGTGTTCACGTAATCTGGTAACTACTGGGCTCCACAGTGAGTCAAAGTGTTGGGCACAGGAACCACAATTTGCAGGAGCCCAAACCTGGGAATTGATTGAAAAGAGCGAGGGCCTGTGATGTCCAGACCTTCTCATCTCCCTCCACCGGGTCCCCCAGACCCCGAGAAGATGCTTGGAGTGGCTACAAACATTCATCTGAAGACATCACCAGCGTGTTGGAATGTTGTTACAAATTTTCAGAAAAACTTGAAATTTGCAGCTTCCTAAAATATTTAGACTTTTTTTCAACCCTTAGCCCTACTCCGAATTCTGCCAGATTCACTCTTGGGAGATTTGGAGCGGAGCCGGCGAACTCCGCAGTTTTTCCTCACACACAATCGCAGGCGCTTAAGACTACCACCCGTAAGCTGACAGCACTTTGAGAAGCAAATGCCATGCGATCAATAACTAATATCTCGAATCACCCAGGGGGTTACCTGAGCAAACCGACAGAACAGACACATTCCAGCTTGCGAGAGAAGACATTTAATTTGGAGAAATCCGCAGAGGGCTGCCTCTGGCTAGTACAGACAAAATGAATAAGGCGCTTCCCTTTCCTGGAAAGTGAGCTTGCTGTAGAGACGTATCCATCCACCGCTTCCCTAAGCCCTCAGCCCAGTCTGTGAAGTACCAAGGAGCAGGCTTACACAGCAACCTTTGCCCGTGACCCCCTCCCCGCTTTTGTCTAACGACTGTGTGTTAGCCTGTTCCAAGAGCTCCGGCTGGCATCTCAGGGCCAACTCGACAGCAGGGGGCTGGTTACTATAACAACTGACAGCTCTCGTGAATTCTCAAAGCCCACCGAGTAGCCATTTGGGAAACAGTTATTGAGCAAAAACTTGCCTGGGATCGGCTGCCTTAGCTGCGACATGACCCTGAGCTCCCTGCACCCAGTTGCACAGGGAAAGGAAAAAAAAGAAAGAAAGAAAGAAAAAGGTGCTCACCTCCAGGAGCAGCTGGCCACCTCTGAAAGCTCCCACCCCTGTCCCCTTTAGCATCTCCGCACAGATGGGTTAACACCACAGTGCACTCTTACAGTCATAAACGCAAATCCTCCCAGGCAGGACATCGCTGGCAATCACCAATTGTGCTGTAACTCCCCAGTGGCCTGACACCTTGTCAGGCTTTGAAGAACCGAACTGCAAAAATTATTCCTTGTGATTAAAAAACAATTATTGAATATGGCCACAGATATAGGTTCCACAAAGAAGTGAGTGGCACAGGAAAAAAAAAAATCCCAGGATAAATGCTGTCGTGTGAATGGTGGGTCCGCAGCCAAGATAGAGGTGAATGTACAAAGTCAGTAAAAATCACCAGGTTTTTCTAGGCTTTAGACAACTTTTACACACACCAACCTTTCAGATGCTCATTCTTTCCCTCAGCACAAGGCGATACTGAACAACCAAGACCACCCCAGTGCAATATCCCTGAGAATGGAACCTGACTCCATCCATCCAAGTGGTCTTGTCTTTGCACAGGTGGAGTGATGGAGTGTGTGCTCTGCAGTACTGAGGGTGTTGTGACCCAGCCCTTCTGGTCATCTCCTACACAGCTGCCCCTGCCTCCTCCCTTTCCCTTGTTCTATGAAAATTACAGCCCAAACACCCTGTCCTCCCAGAAGCACTCTGGTCTTCCTCTCATTCCCACCCCACGCTGCTCATGGCCAGAGTCCCTCCCCAGAGTACACGGTCTCCCTTTATCACTATGCTAACCCAAGGACACAGAGGGCAGGCAGGGAACTGCAGGGAGGGCCGAGACGCCAGTGAGTGCCACTCCTAAGGGGCCACTGCCACAAGGCAATATGAAAACAGTGTTGCTACAACTTCCAACCTAGCAGGAGAACTCAGGCAGCTGAGTTGTTGCTCTTCTTAATTGTTAAAAATCTTCTGGTTGTTTTACTAAGAAAATGCCCACCAAGACCAGGGCAGACCAGACCAGGCTAAAGCTGGGAGCCAGGAACCCAATTCAGATCCTCTACATGTGCGGCAGGAACCTAACTACTTGAGCTGTCTCCCACAGAATGCATTAGCCAGAAGCTGGCATCAGGAGTAGGGCCAGAATTTGAACCCACATACTCGATATAAAATATGAGGAGCCTAACTGGCATTGTAACTGGTAGGTCAGACACGCACTCCTACTAAGGTTTTAAGTCCTATCTTTGTATTTTCAATAGGATTCAAAATTGTAAAAGTAACATCTCAGCTAAATCAAAGTAGTCTGGAGTTTGACTTCAATTTGGGATAACCTGTGCTCACCTGCTCCTCTTCTCCACTAACCTGTAAGTTCCTGGAATAAAGGAACTCTGGCTCTCTGACCAATATCCTGTGCCTGGCACAAGTTAGGTGCTTATGAAAGGTTGAATAAATGAACAAAGCAAAGAATAATCGGGCCAGCCATAGAGGGTCTCAGGTCAACAAACAGAACAAAAGCCTAAGTAAGACAAACTCCAGAATCTATCAGGCAGATATTCAATCCTGGTCAAGTCACTTTCCCTTCTGTAAAGTTTCCTTTGACAATGGTGCTGCCTTTCCTGATGCCCTGTCTACCACACATAGCTGCTAGAGAAATAAATAATGTCACATGTGCTTTGTGCTAGTTTAGTCATCGCTGGTGGTGGCTGTTGGTGCTGTTTCTTCTTCCAGCACTCCCTGGCATCGGAGCCATCACTCTTATCATACCTGCTCCTTTGTGACTTTGCACAGACAGGGTAGACAAGCATCTACACCCGACCCAGCCATCAGCAAGCCAGCTTGGAGGTGTTTATTGTTGGAGCGGGTGGGTGTAGTGCGTGTACCTGGGCTCACAACAGCTCTCGTTGTCCTTGATGCTACAGGAGGAAGAGGTGGGGTCTTTGTCCCAGTGAGACACATGTGACCGGTCATTGAGAGCTTGAGATGAGTATGGCCACGTGCCCACCCTTTCACACACATCTGTTTGAGCCTCTGTGAGGCCAACACCAACGCCCCATACATTTGTGATCTGCATACTGTCCTGTTTTTTGTTTTTTTTGTTTTTTTTTTTTTTTTTGACAGGCAGAGTGGACAGTGAGAGAGAGAGAGAGAGAGAGAGAGAGAGAGAAGTCTTCCTTTGCTGTTGGTTCACCCTCCAATGGCCGCTATGGCCAGCATACCGCGCTGATCTGAAGGCAGGAGCCAGGCGCTTCTCCTGGTCTCCAATGCGGGTGCAGGGCCCAAGGACTTGGGCCATCCTCTATTGCCCACCCAGGCCACAGCAGAGAGCTGAACTGGAAGAGGAGCAACCGGAACAGAACTGGCGCCCCAACTGGGACTAGAACCCGGGGTGCTGGCACCGCAGGTGGAGGATTAGCCTAGTGAGCCGTGGCGCCGGCCACCGTCCTAGTTATTGCATGCTCTCTCCCACTGAACATCCAGGGAAGGAACAAAATTGTAATGTCAGCAAACCCACTTGGTTTCAAGAGCAGCATTCCTGATGAGGAGCCCCCAACACATGGCAAAACTTCTCAAAGTCCAAAGAGTAAGAGAGACATTTTTCCTGTCTGCCTATGTGCTCCGCTGGCACCGCCTGATTTCATCACAGGATTTGCAGATGGCTCAGT